TCATAAAAACCTTCAATGCCAACTTTAGTTACCACAGGGTAGTGATCACTTCCTATTGTGGTATGTTTGATCACGCTCCATGTGCTTAAACCTGCTATTTCACTAGACACCAGTGTTAAATCAAGCGCTGCCTCTGTGTTTTGCACACTATTGTATCGTGTTCCTTCCCTATTATTAATACATACCAAACAGTGATTATCTATAAATTCTTCAACTGCTAAACCATCTAAATCTGTTTTATTGCTACCCCATAGTGAATTAGGTGAATTGAAATCCCCACACCATATCACGTTATCTTGCAATAGTCCTCCTACATTCTCTAGTATATCTAGACTTATTTTCCCACAAGGATTATAGTAATTAATTATGCCAATATTACCTCTATTAGTCCATACCTTAACCGCAATTGATTCATGATCTGTGCTTATACGTATAACCTTATAACTCATTCCATTTTGTATGAATGTCACAACACCTCCACCGTTGCCAGAATTTCTGTCTCTCCTAACAGCAGTATATCCCTTTATAATAAAGTCCAACTGTGGCTTTAACCATGTCTCCTGTATACAAATTATATCAGGTTTCTCTTCCAATTTATCAATATACTTTTTAAACTCTTGGCCATTTGAAATTAAGCTTCTTGCATTCCACTGGAGTATAATTAGCACCATTAAGAGGATCCAACTCATGTCTGAGATGACTGATATCTTCATTAAGAATGTCTTTAACTGTTTCCCAGTGCAGCCCCCTCACATCAAGGTACTTCTCAGCTGATTTGACAATTATTTTGATCCTTTCATTTCGGCTTTTTGTCTGTGCTGAACAGTTGACTATATCTGCCATAAGGAATACAAAGTCATTCTTGTTCACAATCAGAGTTTCCTCCTTCACTTTGTCGCACCCTACACATTTCCCTGCATCTTGATTTCTAGTGTCATTTTGCCTTGTCTGCGCGTCTACTGAAACCTTCTTTGCTGCTTCTGCGTAGCTTATTCCCTGAGTAGCCTTGACTTGCTGCACCTCTGCCGCTCTTTTACTAACTTTGCATCCGCGGTAAGCTGAGCTATGTTCTCCTCCACAATTACAACACTTCAGCTTTGTCCCCTCTGCACATTTGCCATACTCGTGGTTTCCACCGCATCTACCACACGTTTGCTTTCCCTTGCACACGGACCGAACCTCTGACATTTAAAACATCTGAGAGGTGGGGGAACATACGGCCTCACATCATAACACATATATCCAATAAAGATCTTTTCCGGGAGTCTTTCCTCATCAAATGTGATCAGTACAGAGAGACTCTTTTAATCCCATTTCTGCTTGCTTTAAGACGTCTGACTTCACTCACTTTGGGATTTGTTACATTTCCTTTAACATCATCTGCTGTTACATTTACCGGAATCCCTGTAATAACTCCCCTGACCAATTTTCTGTCAGTCGTCAGAGAACATTGTGCTTTCTTGCCATTTATTTTATTCATTCTGACTGCTTTTCCTTGTTGTACTCCATCCTTACATATAATTAGTAATGATCCATTTCGCAATATTTTAGCACTCCTTACCTCCCCGATTTCTTTACTTATGGATTTAGTTAGCTATATTGGATTCCAATCGCAGAATGAAGCCCCATCTTGCACAAGTTTTACTATTGCCTTGAAATCCTCTCTCCTCCTTTCAGTTACAGTTGCTCTCCCGTCACTATCACTCCCATCCGATCTTAGGCTCTTTTTACGCTTATTTTTCCTACCTGCTATATTCCACTTTTCATAACTCCCGCCACCTTTGACCATCTCTCCTAACTCACTTCGTGAACCGTCACTTCCTTCTGCCTTCTCTCGTCCACCAACCAAACTGCTTCCGCCCTCTACTGTTTGAGGAAAGACCGACCCCATGCCTGTCTCTGTGTTCCCCTGCTGTCTCTCTCTGCCTCGTTAGCCCCGATCCCGGTCACCTGTGTTGCTCCCGCCCTGCTCGTTAGTCCCTGTGTGTGTATTTATGTTTGCTGTGTGTCTTCAGTCCTTGTCCATTCATTGTAGCGTGTAGACACTCTGTCTGTTGTAGTGCTTGTCGTGCTCTGTCTTGTGTGTTGCCCTCTGCGTGCTCGTTTTGTGTGGATTTGGATTTCCTTTGGATTACTTATTTTGGATTCTTGAATTCTACCACTAATAAGTGTTTACACCTTAAGTTTGTTTAATAAACCTCTGAACTGTACCTGCTCTGCTTGAGTCCTGCATTTGGGTCCACCAACCTTTCCTCCCTTCCACACCACAAATCATAGATAGAAAAGATGAGCGCTGGCAGTCCAAGGCATCTCTGACTGTTTTGGGGGGGAGCCAACAGGGGCCAGTGTCCCTTTGTTGTCTTTGGCCCCCCTCTGAAAAAAAAAGTCTACAATGATCATAATATGTCTTCCTTACGACGATACGGCGCTAAGGCGGAACAAATATGTCTCAACTCGTCGGATCTCTTAGGACGTCACACCGCCACTGTCTGGCGCAAAGGTAGTTATCCTTGATGGAAAGTGTTTCCCCTGCTGTGAGTGCGCGTGCATTCAACGGTGAAGGCGGACTTTCAACTTCACGAAAGTAAATGAAAAATATAACATGGATTGTTTCATCTATCATTTTAGAATTGTTTAATCGACAAGGTTTTTGCAGAGAAACCTAGCACACTGATTATAAGAACACTTTTATAGCCTAATGTTACATGTTACTGAACTTCGTATTATTCATTGGACTGAATTGAGAATGTTTAAACAAGACAAGCAGTCGTAAAGCAAACATTTATTTAGCTGTAGTCTGATGTTATAACTGACCACGGAGTTGATCACTTAGTCATCCATGTAACTGTTTGGAAGCTAGATCTAGACAGACTGTCACCTTTTTCAAGTACGCTGCTTCTACAAATATCTACGCCATCAAAACTGCAAAATCAACATCAGTGTAATCCGTTTAACACTGATTAACACATTGCTCGCCTCAAGGTTACATCTACTTCACTCAATGTGCATTAAACTGAATGCAGCATTGTAGACAATATTTTGTCCTTGTAACCCACGTTTCCATTGAATCGATAGCCTTTGGATATTGCTAGAAATCATCCCCTCAAAGGGTAAATTATTATCTTAACAATTTAATAATGCATTGCATTTAAACAACATTTTTCATACACAAAGTGATAATAGTGGCCTTCTGGTCCTACCAGGCTGGACTTGCAAACTACCAAAATATGTATCCCCCTCCATAATGCATAGATGATGGCCTACCAAGTATTTAATTTTGGGTCTATTTCACATCATGACTAATAAGAATAGATAAGTTTCTATTTTCCTAGCATAGCTATAGTGGGATACATATTATTTCAGACTGTTTTCAACCTGCCATAAAATGTATCCCTCCTTTATAATGCACAAATGATGACCTATTATCAAATATTTAATTTTGTGTTTGCTTCACATCAGGACTAATAACAGAGACGTTTGTTGTTTCCTAGCAAATGTCATAGTGAGATACAAAATACAAAACTGGGATCCAGAGAATGTCTAGTACACTAGAGCTTATACTGTTCATTAAGCCTTTCAAAGAAGTATTACATCAAAGAGTGTACTGGAACTGGTACTAAAGTTAACAGGATTTTTGTGTAATATTTTTGTGTAATGTAATAAAACTATAACTAAGTTACTGAGAATCCTGTTACTGAAACAAACATAAATAAAACAAATAACTTACTGAACCATACTAAAACATTTCATCATGTACTAAACAAGAAATTTGGAAAGCTTGAACATTGCCTTTGTCCCGGAATGAGCGTGCCCCTCTGACAAACAACTGGCCCCAGCCTGGCCCCCTTAATAAAATTGGTGTAGAACCACCACTGCGAGGCATCATGGGTTTAAGTAGGCAAAGCAGCAGAGGGACCAGAGGATGTAATCCTGTCATGAGTGGCAAGACCGTAGAACAGGTCAACAACTTTATATATCTTAGACTTTCTATAAACAACTGTTACAGCCCTTAAGCCGTGTGTGTGTCTGCCCAGGGGTACTGCTGCTCGTCTGTTCTCTGCAGGTCCTGCCCCCCCCCACTTCTGATGTTGCAGCCAGGAGGCTAGGGTGCACACCTGTCCCCACTTTACAATCATCGGGAGCGCAGGAGCTGGTATAAGGAGCAGAGAGCAGGCAGACTAGGTGTGGAGAGTGTGGAGTGCAGACGGCATGGAGAGCTGGGTGAAACTGCAGTGCAGCGAGTGACAAGTCTGAACCTCGTGGTGGGGTTCACTCCCTCAGTGGAGGGAGGGTGGTATTCATTATTGTATCTTATGTTATTTTCGCATTTGTGGCATTTGTTTTCCTGTGAGCTGCCCTTCTAGTTTGCAGTTTGCTGACGTGTTGTCCCAACAGTATCCAGACTGGGTGCTTCCTTGTTTTTGGGAAGTTGTTTTTTGTAGACCCTCCCCGAGGGTACCTTAGCATTTTTCTTTATTGTAAATAAAACGCCAAATGTACTGTAAAATCTGTCTCCTGGCTTCCTTCAACCTGGAATGATTTTATTATTGTCACTAACCTCCTCCTCCCCTGGATTTTCCACTGGAGGTTTGTAACAACAACAAACTAAGTTTTGATCAACACATCACTTCTATTCATAAATGATCCCAGCAAAGACTCTTATCTGTAAACTCAGAGCACTGTCTGTTGAACCCCACTTTGTGGTGTTGCTTGACAAAAGCATAATTCAGTCCATCCTGTTGTACTGTTCCAGACTTCATCCATCTATTGCCCTGTTTATATCTCGGTATAAACACAGGGTAGGGGGGGAACAGTGTGCATGTGGGGTGTAGCGTGTTTGTGTGTAGTAGAAGAAGCAGAGAGACAGAGCACCAGCTGCGGCGGTGATGTGCAGAGTATGTGCGTCAACTTTGCAGGACGTTCAAATCATTTATCACCATTGATGAACCACACAAACAATATTATATCATTTTTAAACAGTACTTGAAATTGACCTACAAGGAACTGAGATGTGCATGCAATTATCGGCAAGTCGGCAGTCATGCACAAATCTGCACAAGACTGGTGAATGTGTATAAGTGAAACAGTTAATTTGAAAATGAAACAACATGGGGCCCAGGATCATTTTTGCATGATTTTCCCAACAAATGTTATGTCAATCCTTCCTTTATATTTTGAGATATGTTGTTTACAAAGTTGGCAGTCTGACCATCACAGCTGACACAGTGAGCCATTTAAAGAAACTGAACAAGAAAGCTGACCTCGGAGGATCATTTATTTATCATTGCAGATTGGAGAGAGATTGCAGGATTGTCACATTAAAAAATTTTGCCTGACAAACCGGGGGTGCCAAAATTTAGAGAAAAGATCACTGGAGAGTGTTCCTAGGACTGTGATTGCGGTTGTCAATGTTTCCCACCTGGATATCCTTCTGGCCCAGGTGGCCCAGGAAATCCTATGTCACCTTTGGGACCAGAAGGACCAGGAGGACCTGTGTCTCACTATAGCCAGTTGGAGCCATCAGGCAGAGGTTGCAGAACAGGAGAACCATCCTAATCTTCAGAATGCAGAACAGGAGAACCATCCTAATCTTTAGAATGCAGAACAGGAGAACCATCCTAATCTTTAGAATGCAAAACATCATAATAATATTTAGGGCCTGAGCACGAGAGACATGCAAGGAACCTATTGAAACTGACGGAAATATTTTTATTTCTTCCTTTCTTAATTTTTCTGCAAGTGAAACACATTTTTGGCGGCTTAAACATGCTCGAAAACTCAGAAGGGGCGTAAAATGTCATGCTTTATGGGTCTCGCTCATGGGTGCAATGTGGCAAAATGGCTCGCTAGCGCCCCCTAAAGAGCAGCCCCCGCGACAAGTTTTACTAAGACGTATGAAATTTCTGTGGCACATGTATCATGTTTAGACATATAGACTGGTGATGAAAAGTTGTACAAACTGGTTTCACCGGAGGGCATGTTTGTGGTGTGGCATTGAAAATTGATGATTCTCCATGAAACAGGAAGCTGTTGTTACTTCCGTGTACATGCTCACATCTGCACCAAACTTTACATGTCTGATAAAGTCCCGCCCTGAAGACATCTATAAGCATATATTTTTTCACAGTCATAGTGCCGCCTACTGTCAACAGTAAGTGATTACTTTTAAGTTGTGAAGAACTACTCCTAGCGCCACTTCAAAACTATCTCAGACAACCCTTAAGACATTGATATGTTCTGAAGCTTGTGAGTTTTCGTTTCACGGTGTGTCAGTGGTTTGGCAGCGTAGCTCCATGCTTCGCCATGAAAGAGGAGGTTGTTGCAACTTCACTGCACATGCAGAAATTATTAACCAAACTCCCGCCCTGAACACATCTACATGCCAATATTCAGTACAGTCATAGCCCCGTCACCCTGCATGAAGATTCAATTGGATTGTTTTGTTTTTTTATTGTTACAGTAAATTAGATCACCAGAGTGAACCTTTCAACAAAATCTAAGTTTTAGTCCTTTTCAACTCTGCAGTCTTTGAAATTCATTTAAGAATGTGGTCATGTCAAAATTCAGTCTGTAGCAAAGAAGAATTACCACTTAGTACAAATTATGCATCTCCAGTAGTTCCCAGCTCATTGTAACACTTTTCATATCATTTTCATAGCAATATATACACATTGGCTGCAGGTAAATGTAATTTCCAAAGAGCAAAATTTAATCGAATGTTTTTTAAAAACAAACAAACATGCTGTTGTTAAGTTGTTTAAAGGTGTTAAAAACGATGAATCTAGTACCAAATAGTAATAAACAGAAAGGAACTCACTGTATAAACGAGTAGTGATCTGCAGGATGTGCTACTTCTTCGCTAATTCCAATGAAAAGTCACTGTGGAGGTAGGGGAGTGAATGTATGACAGATTCCAGAGCAAACAGCAGATATTGGTGATGTACTTGTAAAGACATTGCTTCATAGCACTACTAGCAGTCAAACCTCCACAGGGGACCTTTTTTCAAATTTGTGTTCCATTTGGAAAGTGGGAGCTAGCAAAGCTTAGTGTCTTACATAAGTAAAGTAAATTACTAATTAATATGCCATTACATGCACCAAAAATAATATAAAAAATTAAATGTACTACTCATATCAAGCGTGTCCTCTCTCTATCTCCTACATTAACACATACATGTAAACTGAGAGAAACTTACTCAGTGATCGGCGCACACACACACACTCACTCACTCACTCACTCAGGTTAACAAAAGATCTTCCTTGTCTTTCTGGATACAGAGTCCTTTATAATGTCTTTAAAGTCCATCTGTTTAGCCAGTTCACACTCAATGGCAAGTATTGCCAGGTTTTTGAGTCTCTTTTGGCTCATTGTGGAGAGCAAGTAATTCTTTATTATTTTCAGTTTACTGAAGGATCTCTCTCCTCCTGCCACAGTTACTGGTAAAGTTCAAAATATCCTTACTACAATGCAAATGTCACTATAAAGGCTCTCCAGCTTCAAGTCATAAATCCTGTTGAGCAACTCCGGGGGTGTTGGTGATCCTGATTCTGATGTGGCACTGTAAATCCTTTTCAGATAGAGCATTTGTTTTTCAAAATCTTCAGATAGATCCTTGGAATATTTTGTTATCAAATGTCTTAAGATGACGTAAGATCCTCCTCACTCAACTGCTGGAACTTGAGTATTCCCTTGAAATCATTGCAGATGTCCCTTTTTGGGACTGGATTGACTGAAATCTGGAAGTCGGCTGTGCAATGATAGCATCCACTGCAATATAATACTCAGTCCTTGTGTATCTGATAAGGCCTCATTAGATGATTTACAGGATGATATTATGCAATGGATTGCTTCAGTCACACTGGGGAGGTGGTGAGCGTTATCATACCCTTGTCCACGGCCGTCAGTGAGGTCGATTCCATGCCTTTGGAGAGGTTCCTCTATCATGCTTTGTCTTTTTTGCAAAGTCCACAAACTCAATAAAATGTTTGTCTATTGTCCAACCTTTGCCGTTTTCATTATCGTTATACACGTATCTCAGAAGAAGGACGTTCTGCTCAACATGTGATCTATCTGGGGTTACATCACATATAGAGAAATATATTGACTAGAGTCTTTCGCTGAGAATGTTGTTGAGAACATGATTTCCACACAGTTCAATTAATTTATTCTATCCCCGAGAGATAGTGTGCTAGTAGCCTTTCCCCTCAGTCTATATTCTTTGATTTTTTCTAGATGCTCTCGCATGACAGAATGATATTTTGCAATCAGCTCAAGTAACCCTAAAAAATTCCATTATGAACATCACCAAGCTCACTGGTGTCCCCTCAAACATAGGTGTATCTCCCGGGTTCAGTGCCGCTCTCACAGGTTTCCCCTTCATGTCCAGCCTGTGTTCTTGGTTCTGGCTCCATAGAAGTAGACTCAACAACATCATTATCAGTGCACCCCACAGATGTTGCCGTGGGTTCAAATCCTGGTGTCTGGGTTAAATGCAGAACATCTTTGCTATTATCATTAGCATCATCCTCTTTCTCACAGGTGGCAGCTGAGATACATCAGGTAATCAAACAAAGCTAGACAAGGACACCAGATACAGAAGATTACCAAAATAAAACAGGAAGTAAAGTTTACAGGAACACACAAGGACAGATCTACCAAAGTAAAACACAAAACGTGGAGAGACAGCAAAATCAGGACACGGACAGAGACGGAACCAAACAGGAGACAAGACTACACTAAAACATGAAGATATAAGACTAAGGACTAAGACAGACCATAATGATAAAACACAGAAGTACACAGATCAAGAAAACACTAAGCACGAACAAAAGCACAGGACATATCACAAAATGTAACAGATCAAAAACAAACTAACTCAGACACAAGCAGACTAAACTAAAATGATGCAGACAAGGAACCTGAAGTAAATACTAAAACATGAACCAAGGCAAAGGACTGGGAACAAAGACAAGAACTAAAACACAGGACCAAGAGTATACGCTAAGACACGGATGTGAATGCAGGACATAACTAGAATATAGAGACAAGAAAGATACTAAGAAAACTTAAACATGCGAATGCACAAAGGACTAGACTTAGCTACAAAACCCTAAACATGACAACATTAAAATAAAGCTATAGGAACACAGAATCCAAAAACAGGCTAAAACAGAAAAGACATGAACCCAAAACCACACTCCTAACAGCAGCTTTCTGACCTGACTGAAAAAAAGTTGGTCAGTACCTTATTATTTGGGTCTAAAGACCTTGCCAGCTCCCTCTTATTCTTCTTCTTTCTTTTCTGACATCCTGATTTACATGCAGGCCCTGGCATAGCAAGGAAATTCACTCCAACATTAGCTAGTAAATTTCTTAGGTCACTTGCACATCTGACCGCGAAGCACTGATGTTTTTACATTGCGTACAACAAAAAATAGTCTACTCATACTATTTTCAGGAGAGGGGGGTTCATTATGACACGGGGTACATTTTACTCAAGCAACATTAAATAAAATGAATTATTTTCTCACTTTCAACAAATAGCGGCGCTATTTTGAAATAAAATAAAATATGGTAACATTTGCTTATATTTAGGATGAACATAATTATTGCCAGAGCCATGATCCCCCCTTATGGGCAGCCTTGATTGGCGCCGTTACTCTGCTGCGACAACACAGTCTGTACACTCCACGTTGAGTCAGCGGTGCGTGTCTGTCAAGTCAAGTCTTTGTTTGTTTGTCCTCTCGTCTACGTTTTCTGTGAGTCTGTTCACCATCATGGCTAACATAAACTGCTTTCTTCCTTCTACTGCCCACCCGCGATCTCAGAAGTGCAGCGTTACACCCGGATGGGTTGAGTGGTAACAAACTCACCTACTCCCACCAAGATCTTCTCGCTCTCCAGGGCTCCATCATTCTTGGCCTAAAACCATCGGATGTAATCCCAGCTGACATCCTACATAAGCCGAGGAAACGAGAAAGGCGAGGAGGTACGCACCAGGTTACGGAGGCGCCCTTTCAACCCACCCCTTCCCTCAGTTGTGATGGCAAATGTGCAATCTCTCCGGAATAAAATGGACATTCTACATGCCAGATGCCAAGTGCAGAAAACCTTTCGGGAGGCCTGCATCATCGCACTATCTGAGACATGGCTGAACGACTCTGTTCCAGATGAAAAGGTTGGACAATTTCACCATCATCAGAGCTGACTGGACAAGTGAATCTGGTAAGGAGAGGGGCGGAGGGGTCTGTGTTTACATTAACAACCGATGGTGCAATAACATCAAGATCCACAGTAGGGTCTGCACACCTGACATTGAAATGCTGACTTGTTTGCTTCGCCCCTACTACCTCCCTTGTGAATTTCCCACGGTGGTCATCGGCTGTGTGTACATCCCGCCTGGCGTGAACACCAACACGGCAGCTGAACTAGCAGCCCAGAATGTCCATGCCATGCTGAGCAAATACCCTGAAGCTCCGGTTCTTCTTATGGGGGATTTTAACAACTGCAGGCTGGACTGTGTCCTCCCATCCTTTGAACAAAATGTGGATCTCCCCACAAGGAGGGAAAAGGTGCTGGACTTATGTTACAGGAAC